AACAATTATTTTATTACTCAGTGAAGATGTTAAGCACTGCCTAAAAGGATGATGGAAGGAGATTCAACGGTAACTTTCAAAAGGGAGTTGGATAAATACTTGATGAAGAAAAGGTCAAAAATCACACGACACCACGTTATAGTCCAACAGGTTTATTTGAAGTCACAAGCTTTCGGAGTCTCGCTCCTTCTTCAAAGGTCTTCAAATAAACCTGTTGGACTATAACCTGGTGTTGTGTGATTTTTGACTTTGTCTATCCCAGTCCAACATCAGCACATTCCACATCATGATGAAGAAAAAAAACAGCAAGAGATAGAGAAAAAGCAGGAAAGTGGAATTAATTAAATACTTCTTTCAAAGAGACCAGCATAGTTATGATGGACTGAATGGTTTTACTCTAAGCTATATGATTTAATGACTAACTGCATATTTCCAGCATTTTCTGTTTCTAGTTCAGATTTTAAGCATTTGTGGTTTGTTTTTGTTTTGATTCAGATTTTTTGTTGCAATGATTTACGTTCCATGGGATGAAATATGAACATGTCATGAACTGCAATGTAAGTACTTAATGAAATCACAACAATTACTCTATCTTTAGTGCTTCACAGATTTGTAAACAAAAATTAATACAAAAATAAATTATGTTTTATGCTTATATTTATTTTTTTCTGACAAAAGTGGATTTAAAAGAAAGGATACTGACTTGGGAATGATAAAATATTCTTTATGCTCCCATAGCCATTGTAAACCATTGGGTCATGGTTACTCATGCAATATAAAGGATTCCCTTGAAGATCATAAATTTAACAAGGCCTCACATTTGTGTTGAAGCTGTAACTCCCTTAGACCTCTCACCAGATCCTTCTGGTTCAGTGCCTCAATTGGTATTGCAGATCTCCCCCAAGTTCCTGTATAATTCTTTCTCATGTTCTGCCTTACTCTGTCTGTTCCTCTGGAAAAATCTGATGCTTGGGAAGAACCCAATATCTGTCACTACAGACAAACGAAGTGGTTTGACAGATACATTATCAAATTCTAATAATTTGCCTCCAGATCCTACGATAAGGTCTTTCAGCTCAGACTTAGAGATGCAGGGCCTTGGTATAATCTTTCGACTTCTTTCGTCCTGTATAACTACATTGCGGGGCTCCTACTATTAAACACAGCATCAGCGGAATGTAATCCTGGATCAAGTTCAGGAAGGGGGAGCAAACTTTTGATTTGAGCTTAATACCAACTTGCATTTCGATAACATCTTTAGAGTGGTAGCATAGCCCAAAACACGTCACAGAACAATTATCAAATAAAATTCAGTACTGAGTCACAGAGTAAGGTATCAGGGCAGATGACTGACTATGTCAAAGAGTGATGTGGAGGTCCTGGTGTTGGACTGGAGTGGACGAGGTCAAAAGTCACATGTCACCAGGTTGTAGTCCAACAGGTTTATTTGAAATCGCAAGCTTTCGGAGCGCTGCTCCTTCATCAGGTGAAGTGATCTGTTGGCTATGTTGAGTGATATGTTGCAATTGTTCATCTTCCAACATAACTAATCTCGTTCTGCCAGACCTTTAATTTTACATTAAGCTATTCGTTGTAAGAAAAGTTAGGTGGTTGTTTTTGACCAGAGCGACACGATGGATGGAAGGGCCTTTATCTGTGCTGTTGATCTTTAAGGCTCTATTGTGTTTTTGCAGTGCATCTTACAATGAGAAACCTCACAGCAGCTATCTCTCTTTCTGGGCCCATTTTGTTTTTGAATGAAAGGACGTTAATTCCGCAAAACATTGGCATCATCATTCCAATGGCAGCACAGAAGGAAGCCTTTTCACCCATTGTAAACACAGCCCACACTGACCACATCCTCAATTTCCACAGCAATCATCCTAACGTCCACAAACAAAGCCGTGTTAGGACACTATTCAAACAGGCCACAACCCATTGCAACACACCTGAACTTCGCAAGAAGGAAGAAAAGCACCCATGCAAGGTCTTCGCTATCAATGGATACCCCACCAACTTCATCCGCAGGTGCCTACTAGATAGACAACACCAAGGGACACGATACACTCCAATACATCGGCCACGCTACTGTATGTCAAGAACATATCGGAGCTGACAACGAGACTCCTACAACCACTAGGAACCAGGATAGCACACAAACCCACAGCCACACTACAACAAACACTCACAATGACCAAATACCCCATATCTATGACATGCAGAACCAATGTAGTGTAGAAAATACCATGAAAGGACTGCCAAAACATTACATCAGCCAGACAGGAAGCAGCCTAGCCATCAGGATACACGAACACCAGCTAGCAGCAAAATGACATGACAAACTTTTCCTCATTTCAGTGGACTCAGACAATGAAGGCCATCAATTTAACTGGGACGACGTGACCATCCTAGCTCAAGCCAACCACAGACATGCACAGGAATTCCTAGAGGCCTGGTCCTCCACCCATAATGCAATCAATAAACATGTGGAATTAGACCCCATATACAAACCCTTGCAAAAAAGAACCAGAAATGACACAAAACATCTCAACAGACCAGATCATATAAATACTAAGCAGAGTAGAACAACATTGCTTCAATTGAGGCTGCACTGATGATGTTACCTAGCATGGTGAAGAAATGCCTGAACTATAACCAATACTATACTATAACCAATACTATAACTATAACCAATGAGCAAGTCAACAACATCACTCACAACCCGAGCTGCAATTTTCGCAAGAACCTTAAGCATAGTGCCTTTTCTTAAGAAAAATTCTGCATTCTTGATTAAAGTACATAAGTAGATACATGTCTGAAGATTGGCTGTGTTTGTTTACAATGAACTTGAATCAGTGACATAAAGGTTGCCTGATGTAGGATACGTAGAAGCTACTTTTTTGACATGCAATTACCTTTACTTGAATAATCACAATGTTTCCTGAATGTAATAACTTGTGATAGAGGATATCCCCTGAGGCCTACATTACAACAAGGTTGTGTGAGTGGAATTCACTATGAAACCATGTGAAACGCTTAAAGGGATTTATTTCCCAGATTACATATGGGTTAGCCTCATGTATTCAGTGCAATGTAGTAGGAGGACTGCTCATAAGTCTTCAGTTTGATTACGGAATTGTGCCAGCAAAGACATGAAGAAAATTTACTTGTACACAACACGGCAAAGATGCATTGCTTCACTTTCTGGAGCACTTCGATCAACTACAAACATTACAAGATGAGAAACTAAGTGAAGCATTCAGGATAACAAATTGCAAGAAAGTTACATTTAAGAGTGACAAAATGTAAAATGTTGAGGCCACCAGGTAAGAACCAACCGTTATCCCTTAAAAATGAATAACAGTATCACACAGAATTGTAACTGTACTTACCATCAGAACATTTCGTAATTATCTATTTGAATAAAAGATTGTAGGGGTGAAACCATAATAAATTTGACAAATGCTCCGATTAGAAATGTTAAACTGGCTAAAGCACAATAATGTCATTGGGTTAAAATCCCAGAATGCCCTTTCTCATTGCACCAAATAGACTGCCATGATACAAGTAGGCATCTCACCATGACCTTCTCAAGGGCAACCAAAGATGGGTATTAAATGCTGGCTCAGCCCACATTCTGTGAATTAATTAAAACATATAAATACACACACACAAAAATAGGCCATTCAAATGGTTAGTTTCTGATTAAAGACCAAGACCTAACAACTATTTAGATGTGTTTCTATTTGCCAGGAGGTTGTCAAGTTGAATTATTTGTAATAATGGAATATTGCCACTCAATTGGAACAATGGGAACAGGGAGAGAAATAGAGATGCATTTCCCATCTAGTCCTGTTGTAAATCAACAATTCAGTATCATTAATCGTGGCTGTGGAGGTTTCCAATTCTCATTCTTGAACTTAACAATCCAGGTAAACGTGCAAGAAAGCATACACTTCAACACAATTAAATGATCATTAAAGTGACCCTGAGTCTCATGTTAAAAATAGAAACTCGGAAGGCTGTTTGTTCTCTGATCAGATAACTGGCTTTATCTAAACCCTGTTCCCCTGAAACAGGCACGAAAGAACAAAGAACAAAGAAAACTACAGCACAGGAACAGGCCCTTCGGCCCTCCGAGCCTGTGCCAATCCAGATCCTCTATCTCAACCTATCATCTATTTTCCAAGGATCTGTATCCCTCTGCTCCCTGCCCATTCATGTATCTGTCTAGATACATCTTAAATGACGCTATCGTGCCCGCCTCTACCACCTCCGCTGGCAACGCGTTCCAGGCATCCACCACCCTCTGCGTAAAGAACTTTCCACGCATATCTCCCTTAAACTTTTCCCCTCTCACCTTGAAATCGTGACCCCTAGTAATTGAGTCCCCCACTCTGGGAAAAAGCTTCTTGCTATCCACCCTGTCTATACCTCTCATGATTTTGTAGACCTCAATCAGGTCCCCCCTCAACCTCCGTCTTTCTAATGTAAATAATCCTAATCTACTCAACCTCTTTTCATAGCTAGCACCCTCCATTCCAGGCAACATCATGGTGAACCTCCTCTGCACTCTCTCCAAAGCATCCACATCCTTTTGGTAATGTGGCGACCAGAACTGTACGCAGTATTCCAAACGTGGTCGAACCAAAGTCCTGTACAACTGTAACATGACCTGCCAACTCTTATACTCAATACCCCGTCCGATGAATGAAAGCATGCTATATGCCTTCTCGACCACTCTATCGACCTGCGTTGCCACCTTCAGGGTACAATGGACCTGAACACCCAGATCTCTCTGTGCATCAATTTTCCCCAGGGCTTTTCCATTTACCATATAGTTCACTCTTGAATTGGATCTTCCAAAATGCATCACCTCGCATTTGCCTGGATTGAACTCCATCTGCCATTTCTCCACCCAACTCTCCAATCTATCTATATTCTGCTGCATTCTCCGATAGTCCCCTTCACTATCTGAAAGTTAGAAGTTCAAAACAAACCTTTTCCCAGGTGCGTTCCTTGTTTAGTACAATCACCACAAGCTTAGGGTTGGCCTGGTATCCATCTCGTGTGAAGGAGAGGTCTTTGCCATTCCAGGTGACATTCATCATAAACCTGAAAGAAATTAGTGGAAGGAATGAATGGAAAACAGCAAGTCTTAGCTGGTCCAGCTTGGAGCTTTGAATAATAAATTATGCTGCATTTTAAATGTATTTTATTGACCTTATTTTATATTTTTTCAATGCACGCTTTAAACATGAGTTTTTGTGAGTTTAAACATTAAACACTGGTGTTTTTTGAATGCTGCAGCAACATGGCTACAGGTAAATTGTGTGTTACTCTGCGCCATTTGAATTAATTTCTATTACTTCATCTAAGCTGTAGATAAAATATAATCAATTCATGGCAGTGCATCTCATTGATTTCGCAATCTTCATGGCTGGCAGTTAACTCTTGGCCACAAGCCTGATACAACTTCTAGGATCTTAAACCATGGATATTTAGCTAGCAAATGATGAACGTGTTTAAATACACATCTCACATAATGTCATCGATACTTGTAAGTGTGCAACATGTATACAGAGGTTACTAATATATTAATGGTTACAGTGTTTGACAGTTTTATCATGCATGTATTAAATATTTATGACAAAATGTTATTATTTTTATGGAACAACTTCATTTGTACTGCTAAAATATCATGGCTTTGTTAAGTATTAATCATTAGTGCATAACAAATGATCTGTAGCAGAGAGAAACTGAGTTAATGCTTTGAGTGCAGCATGGCTCTTCGTCAGAACTCTGAGGAAGTTTTCTGAAGAACTCTGAAGAAGAGTCATTTTGGATTTGAGACGTTAATTCTGTTTGTCATAGAAGCTATCAGACCTGCTGAGATTCTCCAGCATTTGAGGTTGTAGACATGCTCGCCGAGCCGGTGTGTTTGGTTGCAGACGTTTCGTCACCCTGCTAGGTGACATCATCAGTGCACCTCTGGTGAAGCATTGATGTCTTCCGCAACTGACCACAACAAGAAGACACAACACGGCCAGACACACTAGTCACCCTACCGTACATGAGAGACCTATCAGAGATGACCACAAGGCTACTCAGACCACTAGGTATCACGGTAGCCCACAAACTAACAACCACCCTGCTACGGTTACTGACAAATGTAAAGGATCCCATACCCACAACCAATAAACCTAACGTAATATACAAAGTACTATGCCAGGACGGTGAGAAACATTACACAGGCCAAAGTGGAAGAAAACTGACAATAAGAATACACGAACACCAGCTAGCCACCAAGAGACACGACCAATTCTCACTGGTCTCAATACACACGGACAAAGAAGGACATTAATTCAACTGGGACAACACATCTATAATAGCATGAGCCAAACAGAGACATGCCAGGGAATTCCTGGAGGCCTGGCATTCCAACCGGAACTCCATCAACAAACACATTGAACTGGACCCGATATATAAATCACGGAAAAAGAGAAGTGTAAGTGATACTAACCATCCCAGCAAACTGAGGCATATAAGTAACAAGTGGGACAGAACACCAACGCTTCACCGGAGGCGCACTGACGATGTTACCTAGCAGCGTGACGAAACATCAGCAATCAAACACACCGGCTTGGCGAGCAAGTCCACAACCTCATCCACAAACACACCGAGCTACAAATCTTCTCGAAAACTTTAAATTCCCAGCATTTGTTTCAGATTTCCACCGTGCGCAATATTTTGCTTTTATCTGCAGTATTTTGTCTCCAATGTTAAATCATTTAGATCATTCATTTTTACATTTCTACTCCTGGATCTTACAAAGTATTTGCAACGTGATTGATAAAAGTGTAAATACTTTAACAGGTCAGGCAGAATATGTGGTGAGAGAAAGTGAGTTAACGGGTGGAACTTCACTGTTTCTCTCCTGGTGTGTTCACAGGTAGGAAGGACATGTTATTGAATGAGCCTTAAAGCAATTGAGGGGTGGGAAAGCTCATGGTTGGACTTGCAACAACACTGCTCCTTAATTGAGTCTCTCAGTGATGTCATCTACTGTCACTGGCATTGGCCTATTGTGGGTCTATTGACTTGCAGTGTACAGGGCAGGTAAAATCCGCGGCTTGCTTGGAGGGGGTCCCCTGTTGGCGGGGGCCTTCGCTTGAAGGTATTCAGGAGGGCCAGCAGAGATTCAGCCCCTTTGTCCTTGCTACTGAGTACCCCTACCACCCCTCACCCTGTGACTCCCATGGTTGACCAGCACTCGTTACTTCATATAAGGTAGAGATGAGGAATTTCATTTAAGTTGGAGAGGAATTTCTTCTCTACGAGGGTTGTGAATCAGAACAATTCTTTACCGTAGAGGACGGTCGAGGCTGGGACAGACAGATTTTAATCAGGAGATGGAATCAAGAGGTATAGGGAAAAGGCAGGAAAGTGGAGTTGAGGATTAATAGATCAGCCATGATCTCATTGAATGGGGGAGCAAACTCGATGGGCTGAATAGCCTATTTCTGCTCCTACAACTATGGTTTTGAGCATCCAACCTGCATCCCCACCCAAATCCTCCACAGGATCTGTTTTAGATCAATTGAACCAATATGAGAAAAGTTAGAAATGTAACAAATTGTAAATATGTGAAAAGAAGAAGAGGGAGAGTCAGTGCAGGAAGGAACGTCTGTGACTGGGTGTTAAACAGGTCAGATTAGATGATAAAAGAGTGTAATGCACGACTAAAAGAGAGTGACAACTGGACATTAAAGAAACAAAGGTTTTCCACCATCCACAGTATTTGGCTTGTCTTTGGATATTGATTACCAAAACAAATACAAAAAAAGGAGTGCTTTTGTTTTAGAGTCCAAACTCATTATGACAAAGCCTCTAGAAAGGGCAAGTGGTTTACATCAGAGTTTAGGCTTGTTAACATTTACAGTAACAAACAATGTGGCTTCTGACTGCAAAAGTACGTTTCAGCATGAATTAGTTACAGGGGACAAAATTTTATCTAAAAATATCATTATGGCGGAAGAGCAATTTGATCATCAGAATACTCTTTGTTCGTACAATGAGAGATTTTATACATTTGTGGGAGCAGTCAATTTTCAACTCCTTTGGCTCCAGGGATTCTTTTTTTCGGAGACAAACATATCTCAGATTATTATATTGGATAGCTTTCATCGATTGGATTGTTCATTACATGTGAGACTTGAGTAATAATAGAAACTTCTGTTGCGTGTGCCCTTTGGCAAAATTAACAGGATATAAACAAAGGGCAAATGAAACATTATCACATTCTTTTTTGAGCAATGTAAGCAGTCATCGCACAGTTCCCTCAAGGAATCCAGATGGACCCCATCTACGATACTTTTCTTTTTCCTTTCAACAACATTACAAATGCTTCAGGAAGAAAGCTGAAAGAATGTATTGAAATGAATGCAGAACATGCATAGCCATATTAAAGGGTATCAAAGGGTCATACAGAAAACTAGACAAACCCCAAAACCACAGACAGATACATAACAGTAAGATTATTTCAGCACTAATGCCCTCTAGGGAAGGAAACCTGTCAACTGCATTCTGAAATGGCCTAGCAAACCACACTGTTCAGGCTCAACTAGGGATGGGCAATAAGTGCTGTATGGGCAATAAATACTGACACAGCAAGTGATGCCCACATCCCATAAATAAAAAGGTTATTGACATTGAATCTCCAGAGAAAAATGAATAAATGGTCTCCAGTGGCTGGTTGCACCTCTTTCCTGGGGTTTAAGGTTTTACCAAAGATCTGTAGCTCAGGTTGTGGGTGAGGTTGTTGACTTTCTTGCTGAGCTGGCTGGTTATCATTCAGACGTTTTGTCACCCTGCTAGGTGACATCATCAGTGAAGCCTCCAATGAAGCGATGTTGTTCTACACCGCTTGGAATTTATACCATCTGGACAGTTATGGTGAGTAGTATCATTTCTGGTTTTGTTCTGTATGGGTTGGTATATGGGGTCCAATGCTATATGTTTGTTGATTGCATTATGGGTTGAGAACCATGCCTTTAGGAATTCCCGCGCATGTCTGTGTTTGGCTTGGGCTACAATGGTTACATTGTCCCAGTTAAATTGATGGCCTTCACTGTCTGAGTGTACTGATATTAAGGAAAGTTCATCATATCATTTTGCTGCTAGCTGATGTTCATGCATTCTGATGGCTAGTTTCTTTCCTGTCTGTCCGATATAATGCTTGTGGCAGTCGTTGCATGGTATTTTGTAGACTACGTTGGTTCTGCATGTTGTGGGAATGGGTTCTTTAATCCTTGTGAGTGTTTGTCGTAGAGTGGCTGGGGGCTTGTGGGCCACCATGACTCCTCACAGTCAGAGGAGACTCATTGTCAGTTCTGATATATTCTTGATGTAGGGCAGTTTGGCCAGTGTGTTAGGGCGTACTGTGTCCTCCTGTTGTTGTCAATTTAGTAGGCATCTGTGTATGAAGTTGCAGAGACATCCGTGCATAGCGAAGATTTTGTATAAGTGCTCTTCCTCTTTCCTGCGTAGTTCTGGTGTGTTGCAGTGAGTGGTGGCCCATTTAAATAGTGTCCTAATACAGCTTTGTTTGTGGACGTTGGGTTGGTTGCTGTGGAAAACGAGGATTGGTCAGTGTGGGTTGCTTTCCTGTATACTGAGGTTTGGAACTCCCCGTTGGTCATATATTCAATTCTGACATGATTTTTGTTTTCTTCTTCTCATTATGAATGGAGCCACAGAGGACAAGAGTGGAGGCAGGACAGATGAAATGCAGACTTGATTTAAACTTTGCATGGCAACCACTATGGTTGTTGCTATGTGGGCTCACAGAAGATTTCCATAATGCCTGGCACTGGACTGGAGTATCAATGTGAAAACCAAATGCCTGGCAGAGGAGTAGGGCAGACCCTCAGTTCTCAGACAATAAACCTGAAATAATGCCAAAGGCCATGACGGGGAATTGAAAGAGGAGTTCCCCCATTTCAAGCAGAACAGGCTTAGCCTGAGATAGCAGCCTCTGAGACTGGCAGCAGGGCTGTCAATGGATCAAAATTCAAAATGCTAAAGTGAAAGTCTTATGCCACTACAGGCATCTC